TCAGGCCACATCCTCCATCTTTACGTGGAAGGGTTAATCTTTCAAATAAATAAATAAAAACAAGAACTTATACTGGAATGAATAATATAAATAAAATAAAATAAACCTTTAACTATCCAGCAATAAATAATGTTTAATAAAAACGTTTTCAACCGTTTTTAAACGGCCATCTTCAGTTGAACCAATATTAAAAAGGAACACTAAAAAAGAACACATGAAATACAAATTAAACAGAAACTGAAATGCGCATGCATAATTCATTCCAGTATAAGTTCTTATTTTTATTTACAATTACAGTATATTTTTACTCTCAAATTATACTAATTGGAAGATAAAATTATAGAACATTACAATTTTGCAGGTCTCCTATAGATAAAATATATATAACTAAATTAAATTAAAATTACATACATATTACAAGATATCAATAAATCAAACTCACAGTTTCAATTTTTCTATACTCACAGAATTATTAGCAGCATTATACAATCCACAACAATTAATTAATAGCAAACAATGTAATGAAAACAGACAAGTACAAAAGTACAATTAATTAATTTCAAAAATATGAAATATAATAATTTAAATTATCAATGTAAAAAGTTGTTAAAAAGAAATCCATATATATATATGGATTTCTTTTTAACAACTTTTTAATTTCTTTTTTCTTTTTAACTTTTTAACATACTTCATATATATATATATATGAATAGCTGATTATAATTTATAAGTATAAAAAAGCAAAGAAACTAAATCTCTTATCCACTAAAAAAAAAAAAAAACTTAAAAGATTAAAAAGATTAGTTATTATGCAGAAATTGTAATAAATGAAATAAACATTAAATTAAATAATAAAGATGAAATCAAATTGTATGTCTGCTATGCAGATGATTATTTGATTGTTTTTAACACTCAAAACATTAATAAAGAAATAATGTTAGATGTAGCTTCTAATATTTATAGTAATATATAATTCGAAAAAAGTAAAAATTAACCATAGATTAAATTATCTTGATACTATGATTATTAATTCACAGTTTCAATATAAATTTATAAATTATAAAAAAGAATGTAGTGTAGATAAAACTATAAGTTATAAATCTTATTGCCCATTACAAATTAAAGAAAATACATACTTCATGGAATTGCAGAAAATTTATACTAGAACCACAGATATAAAAGATCAGCAAATAATGGTAAACAATTTAAATAAAAAGTTTATTTTTATGAATACCCAAAGTTAATTTTAACAAAATGAAGAAATAAATTTAAAATAAAATAGTTTAATGAAAGTAAATGTTATAAATTTCCTTACATAAAATACACACTTGAAAAATGTTCTAAATATGTTAAAAATTTTGGAACAACATTAGTTCCAGTTTTAAATAATAAAATGCAATCATATAATAATAAAAAATAATGTAAAAAAAATCAACCCCCTTTGAGTGACTTATGTAAAAAAGGAATAGTATATAAATTGGAATGTATGTGTGATTCCCCAAAACATTATTTAGGAGAAACAGATAGAATTTTAGATACTCAGGTCAAAGAACATGAAGCCACAATTTGATTGAATTATGTATAATCACTATGGTATACTCATACAGATGATAAAAATGGTACAATCAATAGAACATTCAAATCCTCTATAATGATAGACAATTATAAAAGAAAGTTTAAGGAACATATTGCAATTAAAAATTTTCCATAAAAAGATATTCTATTAAACACTTTAGAAGGTATAGAGATTTGTTAGAAATGGCATGGCATCATTAAAGACGACATAAAATAAAACATATTTAACTCATACTGATCCTNCAGTGTTTTAACGTCGCTAGTAGCGATAGAAAATTATTTTAATATATATATATTTTAAATTTAAAAAAATTCTTTCATTGGCTGTTTTTCGCGTGTGCGAGGTAGATGTGACTTCACCCTCTCTATTAGAGATGTGCCGGATCGTTAAAAATGTATATCCGCGGATACGGATCATTAGTGTCTAGATCCGCGGATACGGATCTCTACTTTCGTACTCAGTACGTGTGACCACGGACCGATAGTTGACGCTTTGCGTTAATAACGCGACGTGTTTTGACTTGCACTGCGCGTGTTTTTGTTTATAGTGTGAAAGTGTGCTAAATTAGAATTCACCACAAAGGCAGACAGGATAAAGTAACAAAAGTTGATATAATTTTCCAATTAAGCTATTTCGCGTCTTTATAGTGTGAAAGTGTGATAAATTAGAATTCACCACAAAGGCAGACAGGATAAAGTAACAAAAGTTGATATAATTTTCCAATTAAGCTATTTCGCGTCTTTATACAGATTCTATTTCAGGGAATTCCAACTTCACAGTGCAAACAGTAGCGTGCGAAATTACAGCGATAATAGTTCGCTGTACCCAAAGCACGTGTACAATACAGATCCCGATCGCGACAATATAACCCGGAACCTTAAAACTAACCTTAAACACTAATAACAGAAAAATGGATAGAATTAAGAAGACAGAAATAATGGTAGATAAGATAGAAATAGGGATATCTGGAGTTTTATCCCTTTTTTTCGGCTTGTTTCTTTATGCGTACTATTGGGTGGGATAACACACGTCCTTCTCCTATAACTGGCCAGTTCTCTTTTACAATAATTAGGATTTTTCCTTCCACAGTCGTCAATACGACCTTAAAACAGGATCTTTTTTCTGAACTATCCGGTCATTGAAAATACGACTCCAAGTATTCTCACCTCGTCCGTACACTCTGCCGTCCGGTTTACGAATGACCTGCTACGTCACTTCTCTTTTTTCTCCGGCTCCTGCTTACACCTTTGCTCCTCAAATTTCTAGGAACTGCTCATCCCACCCAAGGGACAGGGAATAGATAAGAAAGTTCTAGAACAAAACAGAACAATAGAACAAAGGGTAGAAAGAAGAAACGAAACTAAACTAAAATTAATATTTACAAAAATATAGCGTACCGCCACAATAGTTTAGTGCAGTGTTTCCCAACCTTTTTTGTGCTATGCCCCAC